TACATTATAGGAAGTACTCGTAACTATACATAAGTACTAAGGATCGGCAGCACAGTGGAAAATAGTTTGGTTGCGGCGATGTGGGCTGCTGGTTTAAATTCCACAAGGAACAAGTGTAGTGTATGGCCTGGCCTACAAACAATTGTATCGGGTGTGGATGTTTGTCCAAGTGCAATTTATCTATGTAAAATACATCCACGATACAGGATAATTTCTTAGTGTCATCATCATCATCATCATCATCATCATAACAGCCCTTCACAAGTCCACTACTGAACAGGTTCCTGGATCACCTGCATCTATCGACTTCCTACATGTCTTACCAGGTCGTCACTTCATCTAGTGGGAGGATGCCCTACACTTTGTCCGCCGGTACGAGGCCGTCACTCTAGAACCTTTTTTCCTATCGGTTGTCGGTTCTTCGAGCTATATGGCTATATTTCTTAGTGTAGCAACAGATTAAAAAATATCATAAATTGTACAACCTTTTAAGATATCTACCAAACCGGAATACAACAGTAGTGCATTATTTACCATAACAGATATACTTAAAAGGATACTTACCTACCCACATAGATTTCTAGGCAAAACTCCTCAAAATAATAATAATAATAATCGTCATCATTATCACAGTATATCGAAGCCATATTTACCACGTTGGCAGGCGGGTTGGCAATTGCAGTTTTTTTATTTTCTACTTGATAATAAGAAGACACTTCCCAACTCATGGTTTGTTTGTTTCTGTTCAGTCTTACGATAACCACGTAACGATATGGGGTAGTGGATATTCTAATACCGCCAATACATGGTATTGCGTGACACTTTTTCACTTTTATTGATACATTTTTAAGCAGTAGGTTAAGTTACTGCCCTGAGATACTTTATGAGGGAAGCCTGTGTTTAGTAGTGGACTTTTGATAGGCCTCAATGATGAAATGAATGATCCTACTGCTGGGTGTTCTCTCAATGCTGAGAATTCTGTGGAGTAATTAATTCGCCACGCTGATCCAGTGTTTGTTGCCGGACTTCACATTGCCTCAAAATATTTTTATTCCTTTGACATACCGATTTCATCACAATATTTACCTTCACCGCCAAGCTCGTGGTACATAACACTTACCGTCACCCTCTTATTCTATCCGCTCACTCCTCCACTCAATAGAATGACGTTCTGATGAAACATAAAGGGAGTCGATGATGCAGGTGGCTTAGGACTGTGCTTTGTGGCAATCTATATCGCTAATGCCTATCTTTAGCAGTGAACTTGTATAAATACGAGTGGTGTATGCCGTCGTCTACCCTGACGGAGCCACGTTCCATCTAATTTAAGATGGTATAATATAAGTGAGTGTAGAGAACCGGAGATCCATTTTACTGGTAATGAGTCATTCTATCTTAGTGTACAATGGGTGACAACACATCTGCATTTTAATTCTTAATTGAGGATAAATGTAGATGTCTATAGGCCACAGCATATACTTAACATCAGGTGGACCGTGTGCTCGCTTGTTACCCTTATCCAATAAAATATAATAAAGAATTAATACCTTTTTAGGAAAAAGCTGTTTACGACGCAATATTATGTACTATCATATTAATAATTATTTGCGCTTAAAATTAAATCTATGTCTGTGGCAAAGATAAATTTGTTATAGTCTTGCCCATTTTGCAGTAAGTGATTTATTTGTAATATATATATATATATTATATTCTCTAGATAGTCCTTGAAACCACCTTTCCGCTTTGTACAATGTCTGATATACCAACATTGCACAAATTTCTCTAACCAATTGCTCTATTCCGATTTAAAAATCCAGAACAATACAGTTTGTGAGGCATTTAATGTTTTTCACATGTGAGAACGCACCTGTAGTTCTTTATTTTAAGATAATTGACAGCGCCCGTATGCTGCTGGTAGCAGCTTGCTACGAGATGAACTGTTAGCTCGTTTGTCACTTCAGTAATATAAAATAAGGGTGGTAGGTTCAGATACAGTTGACCGGGCTTGGATAGACTACCGAAGGCGATCTCAGTGAAAGTGTACATATCAATGTAGGTGAAAAATAATAATATGTCTTTATAAGTTTGGAAAGACTTAAGAATTTATTAAATATTAAACAAGAAATAAGACTATTCATTTCACGATTTATTTAATTTTGGATATAATATCATAATAGGTATTTACAATAGACGACACAATATGTAATAAATATTAATAAAATAAAATGTGTACAGCCGATATATTATTCTAAAAGTTGTGTAAAACTTGGTGGATTTTAAGCATATTTTGTTGTATGAATGTATGAATACGTTCATGTTTTGGTTTATATATTGGGCGTTAACTTAAATAAATATGGTAATAAAATTAGGAGTACAAAATAATCCAATACATAAAATATATCGATATTATAAAGCATAGTTTTAGATACAAACTTCGATTCAACGGCAGTGAATGATAACCTATTGATTCATTGCTACGTTATAACGTGAGACAATACAATAATATAATTATAAATTTATTATAACTAAATTTAACTATATTGTATATACTAAATTTTCTTTGGTATACAACGGGATCGTTTTCATTAAATATACATAATAAAAGTTACGTCTAACTAATACATAAATTATTTTTGTTGAATGAGCTATATGATATTCATAAGTACATAACTTAGATAATTTTCATTTATTATATATCAATATATAAAATCTTAAGCGTAAGTATGCGTGAATATTGAACACAGTGAACGTGATTATAATTAAAGTTTTATAAATATTGCAAATTTTCAACTGTGCAAATATTTTGTTGACATAATTTTATCAATGCAATGGAGTTGCATTTTTGGGAATTAAAAATATTGATTGGAAAGCGACGACGTAAATTATCATGAATTATTAATATATCTCAGTTTAACATGACAAAGGAAAAATATCGGGCCTACCTTCATTTACAGATATTGAGTAATCCGTAAATTAAGGTAGGCACACATATAAAAAGTTTAAAACATACACTAAGGGACGGTAAAGTTACTAAAAGTACCTTCAATTTTAAATCAACCGTAAAAGCTAAGAAAAATCATCAATAATGGTGAGCAGAAGTTGCACTTAGTTGAGAACTATATTTGAGTCTATATTGGCGTATTTTACCTGTATTATTGCATTTTGGCACGCTTCATTAATTTATTATTATATATTCATTTCATAAATATTATCTATAATCTAATTTATTAACTTCAACATTGATAGATACTTAATTTATATAAATTTAATACAATGACATTTTAACTTGATTCAACATTACATATAAAAGCTGTAATAAACATACATACGTATATATAAATAGGCTGAAGGCCAAAGCCACAAAAATGAAAAACAAAGGTAAAATATATAATATAATTAATATACATAGTGAAAAAGCGTAAAGGTCGAAAGGTGAACTGTAATTTAAATGAAAAAAGAAAACATTTTTTAAATCACTTTTTACTTTTTAATTGTATCACATAGATTACAAAAAAATCTCAAAACATAATCAGACTTTATCATTTTTACAGATTAAAAAAGGCCATGCACAGATTTAAAAATTTAACAGCCTATTCGAACATCGCGTAATAGAATAACGACAACGTAATTTATTACTTTGAGCAAAATTTTTGCAATAATTAAACGTGAAAAGAAACTATTCCTTTTTTGTCATTTTGAGACATATTTATTGTACGCATACGATTCTCACTATAAGGATATCTACATGTTAGCAAAATCAATATCGGAAGCTCAGTTTATATTACAACAAACCACATCAAGTAGACCTCGCTTAATTAAGGAACAGATATTTTTAAACTATATTATTTAGTTAATAAGAAAGCTCTGTTTAACGTGGTCATTGAATTGTTTCGCTGAGTTTCATAACAACGATCATTTGATATGTTTTATGTACTATAAGTTAAATGAGCTCCTCTCTATGTGGTCATAAGATGGCTTTTAGTAACAACCGACTGTAAAAATCTATGCACTCGCTTACATACAACTATATACATTTATTAATACATACGACACTGGAAACTGGTAACGTATTATCTATAATATCTAAAATCGAGATTATATTTAGGCCTACACAAATATCAATATAGTTTCAATAACTATTACAAGGCAAATAATATCCGATCAAATTTAATATGTACTCGTAGATATTTATAAATATTTTTATGTAATCGGATGAAATGAAGTAACCGAACAACAGTTTAGCCAGTCAATAACATTTAAAACAAAAATATACAATCATAAAAACTACTATCAACATAACAACCCCTAAGTTTTACTATTCAATAGTAAAATTATTTATTTATACATACAAAAATCACCCATAAAGGAAAGTTATGGTCCATAAAAAGCGGTGTCAAAATCGAGATATAAAGAACACAATAAACACTAACTTTTTTATTTTTACTTTTACTATTAGGATTCGAGAATTTTATAACATTAATTAGTAGATCAATTGTTTCGGTATTAAAATACTTTAATACAAACTATTGTACAAAGTATTGTAATACAAACTATCGTCTTCCAAAAACTTACACGAACATTTTTTTTTCTAGAATTTATACCCAATATACTCGTATATCCGAAAGATAAATAAGTTGATCCATATTAGTAAGCCAAATTTAGGCCTGATAATTTACTATAATTTAAACCATATTTAAATGAAATACATAATACATATTATATAAACATAACTAAGCATTGTATAGAGATATTATCTCTATTTCACTAATAACAATAAATAATCAGTTATTAATTCCATGATCAAAACATTCGTATCAAATTCAAAATCTATACAAAATTTATTGTTTAAGAAAATATTCTCAAATCCTTCTTTCATTATATTCAACAGAAGCTTTATATATCTTCTAGTATACAAAAAACGAATTAAAAATGGTTCCAAAAAGCAACATACAAAATGTTTATGGAAAATTCATTTCAAAAATAATGAATTACCTTTCCTTTCACAATTCTTCTGTGGAAGCTATAGGTGCTTTCAAAAGAGGTGTCCGTGGGCTTCTAGATCCATCGGAGTTCCGGGACGACGACTGGAAATCTTCATTCGATAATGAAGCGGGAATGGGGGCGATTTTCAATTGGTGACCATTTAGTTTGATCTCTGTTATGGAATGTGACCTGCCGTGATTTATATTCGGCTTCTCCTTATTACTTGTTGTCATGGGGTCATGAGTTGGGGTTTTAGCCAGCGATTGAGTCACTCTCGCGCGATTGGATTGTTCCCTGAGGGCCATTTGGTAGGCCACTTCGAACGCTTCGCCTAGTGTTAAGATAACTTCAGTAGCTTGATCCTGAAAAGTATGGAAATGTTGTCAATTTTCCTTACATTTTTTTAAATAAATAATAGTCACAACGCATTCAGATCATCATAAACTTGTAACCTACTACTGGTATATCGTTTTTTACAGGTTAGAAAACGCCATAGTAATATTGAAAACTTTAGTGTGGCGCATTGAGTTAATTGTTCCGGGTCTGTTTGTTCTTTTGCAATGTATATATGTAAGCTGCCTCCACGATACGGGAGAAAATGTTTTTGTGGGGTAACATATTTTTAAATAAAAAAATTGTGAACGTCCGTGGCGAACGTCGATAAGATTTGACTTGAAATTCAATAAACAATATTTTAAAGGTTATCTCCTTTAGCCAACATTTTCGACGCTCATGGTGCCGTAATAGTGTGCTGAATTATGATATGTCCCCCAAAGTTTCCATGATGCATCATCATATACGTCATGCTTGTAATCCCCGAGGTGGTAGACGTAGAGCAGCCAGCCACTTGGACGACGTTTAACAAAAAAGAGTATATACATCGATATATATATATACGACGCACTAGATTTCGCATTCAGAACATTGACTATGTTCAACTCAACTGTACTGCAATCCGTACACTAAATTAAATATTGGGTAAATTGAAGATTTGTGAATTCCGTAAGATAATAATTATTACATTTTATTTAGATTAAAATAAGAGTATTTTATATTAAATTCTTATATTTATTTCATATTAATATCTTATTTTATTTTAAATTAAAGTCTTCGCGTATGCGCGACTCTACTATCTCCCGCACATGCACGAAGACATAGAGTAGCTCACAGTTTTTGTTTGGAATAGCTTCTCCCGTACGTAGTACATAATAACTCAATGAGTATATAATATATGGAAATTGTGAAAGAAGTGATAGGTGGCCTGCACAATCACAAATCCAATATATCATTAGTCATCTTTTATGACAATCTAGGCAGGTAACACTGTTGACGCATTATTTTTTATATGTATAAGTCTACATAAATATGGGACCTATAAGACCCACACCAACATGAGACAATGAATCATCAATCAATAGGTATTATATAATTATACTTAAATAGCCGTGGTAGCTCAGATTGGTTAGCGCTCGCTGTAAGCTTCACAGTACGCGAGCAACCCGGGTTCAATCCCCGCCAGCAGCAGCCAGCACAAATGAAATTGTTAATTGTAATTTTAAGTAATGATTTACCACGTGCTCGGCGATGAAGGAAAACATTGTGAGGAAACCTGCATGTCTGAGAAATAAGAAAAAAATATTTCAAAGACATGTGAAGTTCGCCAACACGCCAATGCGTGTTTAGGGTTTAGTAGGTTTTAAAACCCTCTCATAAATGAGAGGAGGCCTGTGGCCAGCAGTGGGACGTAAATAGGCTGCAACTTTACTTTTTACTTTTACTTAATTATAATACCTGATATCATGATTTTTTAATTTCTCGAATACATACTTATGGTGTATAAGATTAATTAAGTAAAATAAAATACGTAATTACTAATTATCTTCGAATCTGGTTGGAATTTATTCTGTACCACTAAGACATTTTCAAAACAGGTTAACTAAGGTCGGTTTGATTGTGGAGAATATCAGTCATATTTACAACCTGCTATATTTAGAGTCCATTAGAAAGAGTCTATCACATCTCGTGGTGGACTCTATGACATGCCATAAGTTTTCCTGAATAAGATGAATGTTTCGTCGTATCTTCGATTCGACCAAAACTATTTTCTGTGATGTTTACGCTGTTAACCTATGCGGCTCTTACAGGTTTATTGGACACAGGGCTATTGAAGGCCGCGAGCTATTTAATTCGACCAAAGAGTTTTGACCATCAAAAGGAAAAATGATTTCGCATCGGGCAAAGTGTTCAGCAAGGAGAGTGACTAACGCTCCGTGTGGTAATACGGAAATTATTCTAACTAGAGTAGTTCGGAAACTTCCATGAATTCATTCAGGCTTCTGTTGTTCCGTCTGTTAACGCTATTGTAACGCGACAGCTATGCCTTGAGGTATTTAATTACCATGGAAATAATTACCATGTACTACAGAGGTAAAACAACTCAATTAATGGCAATATTTCATAATCGAAACAAAATGCAGCGGCTAAAGCGCTAGACTTTTAGTCTGTCGTCAACCAACAACCGACCCTCACATAGCATAAGATTTTAGCAGATGTCTTGTGTTCACGATATAGCAAGTCTCGGGACCTTCTACAATGGATAGAAACTAATAATTGGTTTTCATTACATTGAACTAATGGATCTCTTAATGCCGCTATCGCAATGAGATTTATAAAGAAAATTGAACAGATTATAAATTAGCTAAAATATTTTTTTTATTTCACTCACCATTGTGGCAACTCGAAACACGTGGCAGTAGTGACTTCTTGTGGAGTGATCTTTAGTGATGTAAGCAAAGTGAGTGAGATCGTCAGCGTCCTGACACGCGCAGTGAATGTTGCGTATTTCATGCTCGCATATCAGCTCCTATTAACAAGGAATTTAAACCGAAATATTATTAAAAAAAAACTGAATGATTTGGTATAAAGAGAAGTTGAGAGATAAAGTGTGTGTCGGAACTAGAGACCGAATATGTTGCCAAGATGATATTCCATCTTAGCAACAACAACTTACAATTACGTTTGAAGGTCTAGCGGATTTAAGTGGTCATAAATTTCACAATGATTCCTATTATTAGTGAAAATAAAGTTTCTTGATATTGTCAAACACCTTACATTTTAATTATTGTAAATAAAATCAACAAAAATTACAACTAACCTATATTTTTCATAATAAATAATAATAACAACTAATAAATAATAATAACAACTAATAAATAATAATAACAATTAAACACTATATTTTTCATTTACTATGAAATTAGATACAATGTCTTCAGCGAAACCTGTAACGGTATCTTCGATGAAACCGTTACAGGTTTCAAAGACCTCGTGTTCGATTTCAAGTTCTTCAGTGAAAAGTGTACATGAAATGATGTAATACATTATCCCTATAATGCAATAATTTCTTTTCTATATCATGTTGATGCGTTAAATTGCGGACTTTCTAAAAGGCGATTATTATCCGAAGCGGATACAATATCTTGAGGTTTTTATCACCATCAGAGACTTGTTTCATTATCATTAGTTATTTACATGGGAGACATTTATTAATTAATCAAATCGCACCACTTTAGGTTTGAAAACCCATTCCAAATCCGTGTGCAATCGAATTCCCGCCAATATTTCTCACGAAATGTAACAACTACTGTTTAGGTAGGTATAATATTTTCTACATAAAGGTAATAAAAATATTGTTGTATTTATTTAGTTTATAGCTGGCACTCAAATTAAAAAATATATATTTTGTCGATGTCAGATAAGAACGAAACCCTTAATTAACCGATGTAACTAGCCGTGAAGAGTTCTTGCATTAAAACCGTCCCTCATAAAGGAAAAAAAAAATACAATCCTTTTTACTGGAAGAAATACAAAGGCAAGATTCGTGCAAGGTCCGATGAAGTGTGACGACTGATCCATAATTAAAAATCAAGCGGGCAAAGTCAGGGCTTTTGTTTAGTGGACCCCTATTTGGGAGCCTCGGAGGCGGGGTTGTTTGCCCTTCGCACGCTTGGTTGCCTCTCAAAGACCGAAACAGTCTTTTATGGCAAGAAATTGAAGTAAGTAACGATTGATACTTGAGGGGTCACTGCCATTACATGAACATCCCACATTATTCGCATGCAAAAGACATTTCTATTAAATTGCTTTTTATTTTACCCAACCCTATTTTCATTATCTAAATGTAAATATTCTTAAATTTCTATTTCAAGAAAATTAACATGTATAAAAGTTTATAATAAGAAATTTACAGTTTCTGATAATTAATGGAATATTACGGCTCGAAGTGGCTAAGCTTTCGGCTGCAACGCTGCAGGGCTGCGGGTTCAAATCTCGCAAGGCACAATAATATGTACCTACAAGCATCTGTAGGTGCAATTTATGTGTTAGGTAAATGCCTCGACGATATAGGAGATAATACCGGTGTAATTACTTTTAAAAACAAAATAAATATTTTTTACACAAAGTAAAAATTAAATTTACGAGAATTTACAAGAGCATAATATGTCATAATAATAATTATTATTATTAAATATTGATATTTATGTATATTTTTTTTTTCATTTATATATTTATGCAGCCCAACTAGATAAGAAAACTATACAAACAAAATAATTCGAGTATATGGTCATAAGGACTCAGTGAAGATTACTTAATTTTAAGACAATGTATTACTTTTTTCAATAAGTAAAACAAGTTTGGAATATATTTTTTGTGGAAATTTATACTCTTGCTTTTTTCTAGAGTGAATAATTTTTTCGAAAATGACAATTACATTTAGCTTGACAATTTATGTTTACTCAAGTATCCAATGGTATTTATTATTCTATTTTTTTCTTCAGAGCATTATAAAACGAACTCTGTGAGAAATTAGCGGCTGTGAAATTTCGATCTATCTTATAAGTTACGATAAAACAAAGATTAGGTTAATGATAGACATAAATATAATTTGTGCAAAAGGAAAATAGATAATATATCATGATAAGCAAACAAACTTTCTTCTTTGTGTAAATCACAGAGAAAAAATACGTTTTTTTGTTCATTCATTTATTACAGCATTTCAAACCCGTCTGCCGAGCGTGGCAACTACAGCAAATATTTTTCTATGAGTCAATTTAAGGAGAGGCCTATGTTCAGCAGTGGATTTTGTATGTGTAGTAGTGGAATGTGTATGTGTATTATATTTATTTTTTATCTGTAACTTTACATAAATATCAGAAATAAAAAAAATTGTATTATTATTATTGTTATACTTACTCGGGTAATGGTGTTAAGGAACTTCACACCCCTGTAGCTGATGGAAAGAATGATGTCCGGCGAATCTCGAGGCTCCTTGGTCGTCTTTTTTAGTTTCTGTATTGACTTCTTCGTTGATTCAGTTCCCCGAAGCTCTTTCACTACCGTCGATCCTAGGTACTAAAACAATACGTAATTTCTTTAGAAAATACTGATAGTACCTATATTACATCTAATAGCCAATAACACGATTAAGGCTTTTAAGTGCTCAAACTTCTCAAAAGTGGCCTTAACCCTACAGTAAGGTAATAGGATTCGTTCTTTTGAGGTTTAAAACGAAATTGAATTCTGCCTTATTCTGTTTAACAATATTGTTATGATTTACTTAATGATTACTTAATATTTACGCGAACACTACACATTGAATAAAACTGTATTTACGGATTTCAACAATTATCTAAATATATGAGCTCAATTACAGTTTTAACCTGCCCTATCAAAACAGAAACTGACAGTGAGACAGCAAAAAATATCTTGATAGGAATAATACACTCAAATATTTATGATCATGTCACTTCTTCAAACACTTATTATATAGAATTGTGTTCTATCCTCCCCGAATTCGGAGTATCGGTGTAAGGTGAACATGGTCGGCGCGGAGCCATAGACCAGATCCGCCGCTGTGGTCAGGAAGGCTGATGCTTTATATGGAAGCCATAAGGCTAGGATGTACGTTTTTTCCTAGCCTTATGGCTTCCATATAACGGTTTCAGGGGAGTATCGTGGCGCAGGTGGAGTTGGGAATAATAGGGAGAAGACATGTTCTCTTCCGAAGACAGGCCGCCAGATTGCGGGATTTTAATTTCAATAATAATGATCAATGAATATATTTTTTAAACGTACTATGCTGTATGCTGCGGCTATTTAATAATTATAGCACGAATGGATCGGTTGGACTGGGAAAGGACCACCCTCTTACAGAATACTAGAGTGAAAATAACAGCATAATGCTACTGTGTTTCGTATGCAACCGGAGACCATTTTTACTGGAGACGAGGCCATATGCATACATACCATCTTAGTCCACAGAGGAGACAACACATCTGCATTTTGATTCTTAATCGATAATATATGTAGATGTACCCTTAATCTATAAAAAAAATATAATTTTACTTACATTAGCTACGTACGTCACTGCACCAGTCACCAAAACAAACGGCTGATGTTTCCACTGCGTCTTCAAAGCCCCCGGGACCCCCACTAACAATTCTGACGGCGCCCTGATCTCCAAATCTGAAGGTTTAGGCGGTTGTGGAGCTGGTCTGTTTTTCTTACTTCTTTTAAGGGTCTCGCCACCAGGGGGCGCTAAGTTAGGAACTACTGGAGGCGGTACGGGTTTCAAGTTTTCAGAAGGCGGTAACTTCTCTTTAATCTCATCCTTTAATTGTCGTATGTTGTTTTTCTATGAGGAAAAGGAATATATGTAAATAAAAGTAGCGTATAAAATAGTTAATATAATCTATACTAATAAATAAAATTTGAAGTGTGTGTTTATAATGTCGAAATAACATCTTTTTATTATATGCATATGAAAACATATGCGCAACTTATAACAAAAACACGATTTTTAAAATGTTGGTCTGTCTGTCTCTTCTACGAAACGGCTGGACCGATTTTGACTCTCTGGCAGATATATAGATGTTATAAGAAGTAACTTAGGCTACTTTTATTATAGAAAAAGAATTAGGATTCCGCGCAAAAAATTAAAACCGATGAAAACGGGAAACAGCTAGTTTAGACATATAAAATATATGGTTACTCAAAGATCAAGCGCTTGCTGTAAAATTCACAGTACGTGATCAACACTGATTCGATTCCCGCCGGTCTACTGAAATTGATAATTGCATAAAGTGCTTATTTGATACGTGATCGACGGTGAAGGAAAACTATATAATATATGAAGTCTGCCAATATGCACTTAACTTCAGAAATGAGGGGAGGCCTATGTCCAGCAGTGGTATACTTTTTATATAAATATAATCTTTATGAGAATATTTTGAAAAATAAGTGCATCCTTAATATCATAAGGACAAATATTCTACTTGTACTCGTGAAATAAGCATAAAATTTAACACATAGAACATGTTGATAACACAAAATAAAAAAGATGTAAGGAGAAATAATACATAATATAACAATCAAACGTGGTAGAGCCATGCTGTAGCTATATTAGTAGTATAGTTGTAGCACGAATGGGTCGGCTCGACCGGGGAAGGACCACGCTCTCACAGAATACCAGCGTAAAATGGCAGCTTGACACTGCTGTGTTTCGTATGGTGAGTGTAGAGAACCGGAAACCCATTTTACTGGAAAAGAGGCATTCCATCTTAGTCCTCACGGGTGACGACGCATCTGTATTTTGATTCTTTATTGAGGATAAATGTAGATGTCTATAGGTCACAGCAACCACTTACCAACAGGTGGACTGTGTGCCCGTTTGTCACCCTATCCTATAAAAAAAAAACATCCTACAAATAATACACGAAATAGAAACTTCTACGTCATAAAAATTGAAGGTTGAACCAGTTTGTTTCAATAAAAACAAAACAGAGGAAAAACGAAACAGAGAGTTGAAAAAGAACCATAAAAATTGAAACAGTATTCGACGAGGCTAATAATAATAGACAAAAGGAGAAAATAGCATCCGCGCGACAGTTCACACTTCGGAAGTGTAAAACAAAAGTAATGATGCAAAACAAAAATAAAAACGCGGCGAACAGGCAAGCGGAAAATTTTAATTAAGGCCCTAAATAATAAAGGGACAAGAGGAATATAATTGACAGCGTGAACCATCTAATTTGTTGCGAGTGTCATTTGCTGGTAATAAAAGTAGAAGAGGCTACAGGCGTATTCAGGCTTTAGTGAATGGAATAATGTTCCGTTGCGATGGGTTTGAATGGTAAAAGGGAGCTCGAAACAACCCCACGGGCGCTAGTTTCGGTAGGAAAACTACATGTTTTCGAACATCTTTCATTATTTCAATTAGGGTTATCTGATAAGCCACTCTCCCAGAAAAAAGAAACCAAATATTACGTGCTTATTATATTACATTGCTGGTTTCGGTTTAGAGATCTTTATTTACTCATTAAGACAAATATTAGTACATTTACATGAGTACATTATACAATTTTAAATAAGTCACACGGAACAAAATAATAACAAAAAAAGTGAACATAAATTAGAGTAGATTAAAATTAAATATAAGTAGCAAGTTACACTGCTGGTTTTATCTAATGATGGTTGGAACTAATTTGTAAAATGAAGTACACTTTACAAAAATTTAAATTATTTTTAAGAGATAAATACAATATCATTTTTATACTCAAAATTATTGGTTAAAAAATCAGTCAGGTTATATACATACATACTATAGAGCCAAAACTCGTCTAATTAGTTAGTTACATGTTATTTAGCTTATTTATTTAATACTGGCTGGCTCAGCAGACCCTTTTTAACACACTTATTAGCTTCGCGTCTATCAGTCTATCTATCTATCTATGTTACGGAATCTTTTAATGTAATTTTCACCAACTTGTAGACGGCAGATTAACTTGAAAATTTGCATTATTGTGTTGTCATCGTATCAAGGACCGATGACAATACAATAATTTGAACCTTAAAATAAAATAATTATCAGGATCATCAAAGCTCACGAACAATGCGTGTTATGTTCTTTTAAACACTTATATTATTTATTTCAGTCTTTACAGTATAAATACGAGTATAGAACTATTTATAAATACACTACAGCGCCATCTATGAAATCCATTATAGTTTTCTTTTTTGGCACTAAACATTATATATTATTATAGTGTGAATATGAGTCGTTTTGGTCCATTAGATATATAATTTGTTAATAATTTGACTACAGAGACCCTAGCGGGTTTTAGCATAACTATGAACCATGATCTCAATAAAATAAATTATATACTGTGAATAACTAACAAACGCACCGACGTTTATATTTTACTTCAACCATTAGATATATTTTTTTTAATTGTAGTCGTATTTAAAACTTCAAGGATTTTTACTACTTTATTTTAAACTGTACTGCACTTTCTTAATATAATAAATTACTGAATTCATTATAAGTTTTCGGTTGTTTAGTGTATTACACTACGAAAATTGACAGGAAAATTTAGCATTTACATATTTATGGCATCTCGTTGGTAGGGTATCGTGTTTAGTGGCGTTTCACTTCGTAACGCAAACCACGCCGGGTAGCTACAGAGTGCCTCACTCGGCGTATGAATGGCGAGCGTTGAATAGGTCTCGGATTGAGCACTAATTACCTATACGTGGTTGGCGACGTGTGAAATTAAAAAAAAAGACTGCCTGCTACATGCCTACGTGCACTCACGATTTATTTGCGCATTTGAATTTATATACTGGTTTACTATTTAAATTCGTTATACGTAATTTTTCATTGGGTATTTAAAGTTTATTTTTAAAGTGGCCTTAAGAAATATTTTTCGTTTATAAAAAAATATTTTCGAATTATTTTTGACCGTATAGCGGCTGTGTAAGAACATGCACAACCCGCTACCCCATATCGCTCCGTGGGTGTTTGAAGAAGTGGCAGTTGAAAACAAATCAGGAGATGGGGAGCTGTCTTCCTAAGCTCCTAGGATAATCAATTAGAAATATCTGTTAGTCTATTGTCATAATAATTTTTCTTTGGAGACCGTTTAGTGCAGAAGTCACTCTATAATCGTTGACGTTAATAGAAAACCATAAAAATGACTGAAATCAACGATTAATCTCGTAAATATTACGACGTTGAGATATGTTACTCCCATTAATTTTTATAGTTTTCCATCAGCGTTAACGATTGTAGAAAGGTAACTTGTCTAAATCTGCTAAATGAGTTTGGAATTCATCTTGGATTCGAGCAACTTGGACTCGATATCTGTAGAAATCAAATTATTGTCCCGATTATATTTGAATCTTTTTCAGATTAGGGAAAGATTTTAAGATAAATTAGTACCTATGGGTTTGCTCATTGTTTAGTGATTATGGCATTATAATAACGCTGCTCAATATTATTTAAGCCTTACAAAAATTTGTAAAAGAGAAATTTCGATAAACTACTTAGTTATTTCATTATTAAACGCCGCTAAAGGCAATTAGTCACTGAATAAATAATTAAATACTTTTCACTGCCGCTTACCTATTAATTTTGGCACCGTCCCACTTCACCTGAACATCATATTATCACACCTGTAGGGGGTTGCTTGGCTACCCCCCTATTGCACGTGCGTGATGATAATTAACAGCAAGATGAGCAATTTAACAGAGATTAGCCGTTTTAATCTTGTCACATATACTTTAGAGCGGTAATATGGTAAAATTGCATGGCAGACGAAAAGTTATTAGATTTTGTACTTTTTTTTTGCGATTTTTTTGTAATGTGTTCATAGGTAAAGGGTTATTATTATCCTTTACTTTAAGTGAGCAATTCTTGTTTGCTGAGTTGGATTAGATTTGTATGAAGATAATGTTTTAGTATCCTAATTTATATAGATAGGTCTTATCCCGTATTTTTATAAGTTCGGTCGCCCAGGTACTATTTTATGGCTAATGATAATAATACATTTGTTTATAGTTGTAGCACATATGAGTCAGCTCGACCGGTGAAGGACCACGCTCTTACAGAATACCAGCGTAAAATAGGAGCTTAATGCTTTTGTTTTTTCGTATGGTGATTGTAGAGAATCGGAGACCCAAAGTACTCGAAACGAGGTATTCCACCTCAGTCAGGTCAGTCAGTACCATCAGGTGGACTGTGTGCTCATTTGTCACCCTTATTCTATTAAAAAATTAGATGCAACATAATATTTTTAAGGTGACGTAATTTTATTACGAAGTAAATAAATATGAATGTGTCTGCGTCTCTGGTGGTAATTATATCCTACGAGATTGTCGACGCTAAACAATAATTTTGTTGTTGCTGTGGTCAAATTCGGCTTGGAACCATATTTCTGTTCGATATGGCTAAGCAGAAATTGTATCTTATTGGGACTTTAAACCATTTCCTATATTTAAAAAAAGTAATCCTAACTGAAGATTCAGAATCGTGTTATGTTGATATTTGTGTGTCTATTCATTGTAGTGATAACCTGGATTATTTCATTACGCTAGTGCAAAATGCATACGAGAACTCTATCATCAGCATCATCATCATTACAGCCTTTCACAAGTCCAGTGCTGAACATTTCTCCCAAGGAATGCCACAAAGCGTGGTCTTGAGCCACATGCATCCATCGACTTTTTGCATCTGTTACTAGGTGGTAAGACTTTCACCTCGTCATGTACACTTTTTTTACTTATTATAAGCCAGTGCTTGAACACAATCCCAGGTGCAGGGTTACTGGTTGGGTAAGTGGTGATAAAGTTGTAGTG